ATACTGCTGACTTTCTCACCCCCTCCTTGTTTCAGCTCTGCTTTTCTTTCACACTCCCCCTGTGGGGGTCGAGGCAGTGTTTAACTCTTTCGTCCTTGCAGTAATTAGTTAGTGGCTTTGAGACTACCCCTAAGCCCCAGGTGGGGCGTCTGCCCCGGCCCGCAGCAGGAGCCTCCAGGAGTTTGCCTGTGTGTTGGGCACAGAGGTGCGTGTGTGTGTAGAAGGAGGAGAGTAGTGGAGAACTTGTCACTTTTATTGTCGTGGCTGGCTGTCCCTGCCCGGTGGAGGTGCCCTCAGACTGCTGCTGGGATGCTGTTCCCTTCAGCATCCAAGAAAAGGCATGGAAATGGTCCCCTGATCCCCTGAACAGATTTGAAGGGCAAAATCTGCCAACTGCTCGGTATATTGATTCAAATGCATTATTCCTCCCTGGGCAGATCCCTGCCCTGGGAAAGGAGCAATCAGTGCAGGTGCAAATAGCTTTTAATTGCAAAATGTATCTCACCATGGAGGCATTTAGGCTGGATATGATACAAGTGATACAGCAGCAGCCTGAAGAAGACCAATAAGCCAGAGCACAGCAGGGGCCAAACTACTCCTATGCAATACCTGTGGCGTAAATATTCATGTGTGGCTGCGTGTGTGTTCTTCCACATATCCCTGAGATATGACACAGTAGGATTATGTGAAGATTCAAATATCATCTGCAGGGAATGTGAAAACTTGCTCTCTGTAACGGTTCCTATGTGAGAAGGCAGGGTACTTTGGATGCGGATGTTTCGTGTGCGGACTCGCCTAAAGCCAAGGATCGGGTGCGTTTTCTCGGTGCCAGCGAGGTGCTGGCGGCGGGCGGTGTGCCTGCTTTGGAGACAGAGCTCTCTGGCCGAGGTTTAGCTGTGGGCTCAGACGGCCCTTGCACACAAAGTGATGTACAGGTGGCTGGAAGAGGGTCCTATAGAGTTGTCAGACTGCCATAGGGTGCCTATGGAGCTGTATACTGGTGCTTATAGCGTGTTGTACCTGGGCTGTCTGTTCTCCGGGCCAGGTCGGGGCCCTTAGCTGTGCTCCGGGCAGGGTGTTTGTGGGCTCGGCGGGCTCCGCTGCCCTCCGTGGGGGTTTGTGCGGGCCCTGGAAGGGGCGGACAGCAGCCCCCCTGCCCCGCCATCCCCTGCCGCTCCCGGGGCAGCATCTTCCCTACCTCGGGGTGGGGAATGGAGGGACACGGGAACAATACAGAGATAACCCAGACACTTTAGAGGTTGCCCTCCCTAAAGCGGGGTCCGGGTGGGGGGGATCCCCCTCGACCCTCCGCGGGGTGACCCCACCTTGGGGAGGGCGAGCAGCCCGGCTATGCCGGGATGCACCGGGTGTTGGTTTCTTTTACGTGCAAACGCTGCGCAAGCCTGGATTTGGGGGGAGGCAGGACCCACGGAGGAGGCCCGGCGACCTCCCTTCCACGGCAGGAGCCCGGGGAAGGGGGGGTTGGTGGCCAGACCCCGGGGCGCAGGGGAGCGGGTCGGCAACGAAGCGAGTTGCGTGGGGGGAAGGCTGGGGGCTGCTGCGGGGACACCGAGGGGCGGCAGGTCGGGGAGCCCGCGGAGAGGTGCGGGCACTGCGCTTCCCCAGCGAGGGCAGGAATTGGTTTTATTATTATTATTATTTTCCCTAGGAAAAAAAAAAAAATCGGACTTCCTAGAAAAAGAATCGGACTTTCTCCGTGAACTGTCCTGTTGGGAAACGGTGTGCTTTTGCCGCGCAGCAGCAGCTCACCCGCTGCCCGGGAAGGGGGCAAGAACCGGGGCGAGCGGTGGGGGGGTTCAGCGGCGATTTTGGGGGATTTGCAACGGGGAAGTTGGCGACACCCGGGGCAGGTCCGGCCCCACGCGCGTTTCCAGCGGCGTTCGCCGCCGGGGAGAACCCCGTTGCGTGAAGCGGCCTCTCCTCCTTCCTCCGGGCTTCCTCCTTCCCTTCCGAGCGGCAGGGCTCGGGCAGGGGCCACCGCCGGCGGGGCAACCCCGGATTTTAGGGGCTGGGGCTGGGGGCGGTAGCCCGGCTCTGGCG